AGTTCTTGCCCAGGACTTACGTGAATACGAGCTTTCAGATAAAGTATCTACGGTCAAAGTTGAGTAATACAGATCAAAGACTTGGAAAAACTTCTTCTTCACCAAGTACCCATTAGTATGGAACAGTCTTTCTTTTGAAATACACTTGGCAGACAAATGATATACGTTTGTAAGACTTCTTGAAAAAGCACTTACTTGCACTGATCGAACACATCTGCGTCTCATTCAGATATCATAGGCTCTTTACATGTGTCGACCAGATTAGACTATAAGTTCAGTTTGCATTACTTTCCTACTTTGCAGCTGTATCAGATACTCTTCCCTCCTTAATTTTTTACTTGAAGTGGACATGTAAATCACTGGACCTATCGATGCTGCTCAAATAAAGTTAGTCGCCAAGGGACGCTCACCACTACCCTGAAAGTCAAGGGGACTGCACAATCAGCCGCCTACTACCAGTGGTCATTCATCTATCAAGCCTGTTATCCATCGACCGATTAGGGTAGCACAAAACAACATTAGCCACAAGTTATTCTGAGTTCCTTCTTGCTTTTTTTCATCGGCTTTCTACTTTCCTATGCACTATGTTTACTTACTCTTAGTTTCAGTTCACCACTCGTTACCTTACCTATAACTCATATATTCCTATACTTTTCCGCCTACTTTAATAAACAACTCTCATGCATTATATCCTCCTTAATGCCTATACTTTGATTGGCAACCTATTTGTTAAGGTCACACTTTATATAAAGCGCCTTCCATCCGTTACTTTAAAACAGAAAGTTATCGTAAAATTGCGTTGAACAAATATTTAGTATCATCAAAATCTTAACGCATGATTGTGAATTTTGGCAAAATGTGCACTCGCCAAGGTAACAGTTTGTACAAGGTATGTCAGCAAGATAAATTATTGTATGTTTTCCTACTTTCCTCTGTTGAGTAGCGAAACACTTGTATATTATAACTTGTTAAATCCAACATTTGACTTGTACTCTGAATTGCATAATAAAGAATGAAACCCATTCTTAAACCCCTCTGATTTTAATAGCTAATTGAGAGGCTAAACATTAGTCGAGCAGAAGTAACAATACAACCAAATAATATATTTGTATCACCTATCACTGTGTTAACATGTGCGTCAGGATGTGGGTATGAAAAATGCATGCATTTGTAAAATCAAGTATTGGGGTTGAAATCAAGTGTGTGTGTAAATTGTGTGGAAATGAAATAGGGACAAATGTGATTGTTCGGACAATTTGTCAAAGTTGGGTGAATATTCAGGCCTCCTCCTTATTGAGTGAAGAGGGATTTAGCACGATATAAAGTGCTTCGACTACTTGCCTCTCTTTATATTTAGAAAAGCCTCTCTGAATTCTTTTGATATTTTGATATGCTTATTTTCGTTTTGGTGGTTATCGAATATAGCATGTACTACTGATGCTAACTTAACCTGTAAATTCTACAATTCTACAGGATTATAAGGTCTTTCTGTGTAACTTAAGTGTTCCTTGGCATGAGTCGAGATGTTATGGGAAAACTTTATAATACAGGACACATAACTATTGACACAGCATAATTCGTAGACACAATTTTGTGTGCAGCGTTTCTTAGAGTGATAGTTCTCTTATAGGTGTATTTAATTTTTCACCTTTTCAATGTACACTGTAATTCTGTTGCCGTGCCTTGGCGGTAAGCTAAAAATGCAGCACCGATTCAAGATCTTTCATAAAGACTTTTGTTTACAGAAGGACAGCTTTATTTTAACATGTTTTTAGTAATAGTTTAATGAACTATTGAATCGTAGGATGTTTGTTATGTTCTTGTTATGTTTGAAGAGATTACGAGTCCACCTAATCTGTGAACGGAACGAAGACTCAAGACAAAATGGCCAAGTAATCTAACTGTTCCATTACGTCACAGCTCCGCTAACCAGAAACAGAAGTACAGGTTCAGAAGCGGGAAAATGTATTCTACATGCAGTCAGAAGCACGAACAACAATCACAATCCAAGTGACTACATTGAGTATAGAAGCGTCCTAGGTAAACGATAAAAACCGCATATTAAAAGCGGTAACAAACCAATGGCGTTTAAGGTCCTCTCGAATGAGAAATACGACACGAAGGTGAAAAGGAGAGCTTTTGGAGCGAAAACAAGAAATTCAAACCTCCAGAATAAAATTGCCAAAATGAGTCATTTATCATGTGAGGTCTAGAGATCTAACATTACTAATAATTCTGTTTTATTTTAGTTTTTTCTTTTATGAACTATCCAAAACTTACAAGCCTGAGAATTTTTCAGAATCCATAGTAGAAGGACCTATAGAAGAGCTCGTAGAGAAAAGAGAGTGAAGTTCCTATTGCATCGTGATTAGCCAATAGTGTGCCTCCAGTCATTCGTATATACCGTGGTTCCAGATCGAACTAGTTTCAAAGTGACTCAAGCTTCATTCATTTTCGGTCGTTTGTTTTCAAGAAATGTTTTATATCATATCCTTAAAAGCCACTACAGTCATAAATCAAAGTATTCAATTATTCGTCCCACTATTCACTCTTTTACGTTCACGTCTTCTAATTAATAATAATTAATAATTAATCGAACTGACTAAGATATATTTCTGGCCAGGCAGGTACACGACATTTTTTACAAGCATGATCTTTGGTTTACAACATTGATTTACATATAAGATGCTTCCCAGGTGCGGTTGTTAAATAAACGAAATCGATAAAAATAAAGGACAATACTTTCATGCAGATGTTCACTAAGGTTAATGATTCGGATTATGTTCGACTGTTGCACTATGATTGCAGTTTTTATGGCCTTTTTTCGAAAATAGCATCGCGTACACGTTGCATACCAGGTCTGAACTCGGAATTATTACTCCAGAATTCTGGTTCTGTCAGGTATTTATGCGATACAGCTGTTTGTAACCACGCTAACTGGAAATTTCTGGAGCTGTCTGGCTCAAGTCAGACAGAACATTATGTTCACGATTTCACGTATTTTATATTGTGTTCGAATTAGGCGTCGAATAGTGTACATAGGAGTTGTCACTAAGCAGAAACAACATACATCCAGTTCATCGATTTCGCAGAAACCACTAGAGTACACTTGTATTTTTAAAAATCCGTATGATAATGAACCCATTAGTGGGTAGTTCATCGGACAATAGCATGTAGAATTTGTCTGATGTTCTACAGAGGAGGATACGAAGCTGAGAAAACAATTAGTTAAACTTCTGAAAGCTTCAGGTACAATCTATTAGGTTGAATTATGCTGGAAAATTCCACTTGCCACTATATTTAAAAACTTGCAATACACTACCTAATAGCTTGGTCTGAGTAGAATTAGTAGCGATAAATAAACTTTCAAAAGAAAAGGTTCCGTGCATGTTTGAAATTGATGTCCAATTCACTAATTTTATCAGACACACTCTAGTCGAACGCATCCTCACTAGATTACGAGTGGGTAATCCATACTATGCATACCTTGCAACTACTAGCCAGCTTAGGCCAAACTCTCCCTAACGTATTGATAGATTTCCGAATATATCTTCGAACCCCATCATTTCCGACTTCTGATTTGGCTGGGTTGTTGTCCTTTGATTATTAAGGTGATGAGTGTAAAAGCGTTGTCAATCTCCGAATACTTGTGGCATCTTTATTGGTAAGCTCGACGCGATATGTTATCTTTAGCCTTGTTGTCATAGTATTTTTGCTTGGCGAGTTTATTGATTGTGTTTTTAGAGTTTATGCACTCGTCATCTGCATTAGAATTTTACACTTTTGCCATGTAACCATCCAGTCAACTTCCAGTGACATGTTAGCTACTTGTCCCAGCAATCAAACACATTACCTTACACTCAAGGTATCCTTAACTATGAAAAGCGGTCGGATACACTTGGAGCAATACCACTGAACGGTCATTCTACCTACCAGAAAGTTTTTATTCATACGGTTACTACAAGATGCGACTTGAAACAGATAAGCCAGTTTACAGTAGCTAGTTACCAAAGTACTGGATAGTGTACATTCATCATCAAAGACCCTGAATAGTACCGAAACAACTACCAATGGGCACAAAAACTCTAATGATTTATACAGGCTCGCCAAAAGAGATATTGGATATTGGATAATAGCCGTTAGTCTGATTTCTCGAAAGGTGTAGAACTCGCGGGTAATCCGGTCTTACATCGTACCCTCCGTCATATTCCTTGTTGTCCCCTATTTTGGGTGTCAGAGTCAAAACAAGTGAGCTCCTTACGTGTAACCTAGTGTCCCTTGACGTGATGTCTCCTTTACTTACAACGTCTGGTTTCGTACCAATTTAAGTAGCCCGATTTTGAGGAAAGTTTTATCAATTATTTGGAAGCTGCATTAGAAAATTCAAGGTTTCATGGAAGTGTGATAAAAACCTGGAATTTCCCGTTGGTCTAGGGATTTTCTTCAAGCGTATAAGCCGGTGAAATCCTCAAAATCGACCTTTAACAAATTGTCTAAATGTTGTAGAAACCTCATAAACTTCGGATTTCGGAGTTTAACCCAAAGTCGTAAAAATTATTAGTTTTTTCCAAAGTCTGGTAAAACATCTGGAAAACCTCAAAAATTGCACAAGAGTTATAGAAACATGCTTATCCGTGTATTAAACAAAAGAAAACTAGCAGTTATTTTAATCTAAGTCTGATCACACATTTCGTGTTTTAAGATGTTTTAGTTCTTTCAGAGTTCTTGATAGCAGTTGGCGATTCTGGTTCACCCGCTTATTGAAAAATTGCTTTTACTTGTGAGTGATTTACTTCTACCAGCTTCAGACTCACAGTCTTTTCAATTCACTTATCACTTAGTGTTACAGTACGGTTCTATTTTCACCACATGTGAATTGGTTCAACAACCTTTTTAGGCGATTTGTTTGTGTTTATTTTTTATTCAGATTCTGTATTCATATACTGATAATTCATTCAAGTTTTGGCCAGAAATCTTACAATTAAAATCTTCACGTCGAAATGGGTACAGACGGTTATTCTGTTTTTGTGCTTCATGAAGGACATTATGCAAGATCCCCTGACTACGTATATCGAAAGTGTAATACTGCACTAATTCGTGGCCCAGCAGGTGCTTATGTGGTGAACCCTGGGTCTGTTTGGAATGGGCCTGAGTTGTTATCATCTCTCAAAGCTGCGGGTATTCACGAACCTGAAAAGGATATCAAAGGTGTCATATGTACAGATGGTCATGCTGAGCATGTTGGTTGTATGAGTACATTCGGTTGTGCTGACATAATGATTGTTGGATACGATATACAAATGCGAGGCGACAAGTTCTTGGAGCACGATTTTTCCTGTGGAATAACGCCGTATGAATTTGATGAGAATGTAAGTTCCTGTGGTTTATAGAAATGTTGATTAGGAATTCCCCCTCTTGTTTTAAGATTCATTCATTCCATGTCATTTTCGTAGTTTGTGTTGTAGATTATCATGTCTAAAAATATTCATCATCGATTGTTCACTAGTGGGTTAATATTCAAATTTATTAAGGACTGATCCAAAAGTTCTTCATTACCTGATCTGCACTGCTAGTCAACACTGCAGACCACGAAGTATTTGTGTTTGCCTTTTGAGAGACATGGATAGCCGTTCATTTTAAACTAAAACACCCCCCCAATTCTCAATTCGACTTCGTAATTTTTTTTCCTTATTGTTTTCGTCTTGTTAACCTCTATGATTTTTGGGTGAAACTCTACTTTATGGACGACCTTTGAACGAATTTTTAAGTGACCTTGAGGACATTAGCCAATCAGAAGAGAGTTAGTATGAAGTGAAAATATATAATAAAAAAGTAATGAATTACAATGGGTATTCTTCTTTTACATTATTTAAGAACTTGTTGAGGTTTGATATAGGTCCAGAAATTTTGAAATCATAGTGCATGCGGTATAAGAACTCGTCCATATGACTCCATAATAATCGTCATCTGGAGCCGTGGTAGGGTCTTAAAAAATACTTCAGCCTAGACCACATGCCCTCAATGTTGTTTGTATGGACCCCCCGTCGTTAGATCAAAGAAATGACGTTTGTGCACCACCACATGATGCACAAAACCAAGTCTCGAGAGGCATCTATACGCTTTCCAATCATCGGTATAGCCGCAGCTAATGTTACTGGAGACTTTATGATCCAATTTGCAACGATTATCATGGTTTGTCTTAGCCTTAGCCGTGACCGGGCAAAAAAAGTGCCAGTTCGAGCAGATTTTTTTCTACAACATATAGTACAACGAAATACAATGTCATCGCGACAGTCTGCACATCGTGCTGCGGTCATTTAATTGCCGCAGTCACAGACACAGGAACTTCTTAATAGTCCCATCTGCTGTAGTCTCTCAACGATCACCTATTCTCTAAAATCTGCTGTAAAACGATCGGATGTGAGCATCTCGCACTGAACTTAGCGCCGTGACCTTAAAATTCCATAAACGCTTCTGATTGGCTCGTCCATAAATTAGAGTCCTACCGATTTTTGTTATTGGACTATTATATTGACCTGGCATTTCATGTATATTGGTTTTCGGTGGATTAGTCTGACCTGTCTACTCAATGGCCTATCAGTATGAGCTGTGATCTAACAACCACGATCTCAAAATCTCGTGACCGCAAATTGCGAAAGATAGCATTTGACCACGCTGTTTATTTATTTAAATAAGTAAACATTGATACAAGGAGGCGTCAAATAGATATGCGCCACATAAGCAATTTGATTTATGTGAGGGCTGGATTACTGATCAGACGCCCAAACCGAAACAGGTGGCTTTCTTGGGGGGCCACACCCCAAGCCTTCGACTTAAAGGTCTAATCCATGAGGCAGTGGAGCAACGTCCGGAGATGCAGTCTTATAGTACTCGATGACCAACAATTGGTTCATACGACATTTGTTTCCTTAGGATCCTGGAACCCATATGCACCATTGGTTTGGAGTCAGGGTTTCCCAACTCCCCTAGGTAGATCCTCCGTATCCATCAACCCGCTTAATGTGCCGGAAATTCGCTTTTCGGCCTCTCAGTTTCGTAAACAACACCCACGTCACGAGATTTATTTTATTTTATTTGAACACATAAATATTGGTACAAAAGTGCGCCAAATATATATGCGCCTCAAGAAGGCAGTGAGTAGGACTTCCCTGGCAGTGGTTGTATGCACGTGGTCATGTGAGAACATTTCGAGAGGGAGAGCTGACTCTTCCCACTCTCGGCCGTACCAGGGCATTTGGGGGCTTAGACCATGTGGTTGCAGCAGATACATGAAGGGCACGCTTCCGACTACACAGTGATTTTCAATGTTGTCGATTACAGTCTAATAATTACTCATTTAAGGATAAAAATGTCCGTGCCAAAGATTTTTCCATCCCTAAATTGCGTTTAGTATTTTCCAGACCAACTACAAAAACATACATTTCGTCACAATCTCAATAAAAAATTCGCAACTGGTATGTCATGATCCAACATAACTTGGTACTTCGGTGTGGTTGCAGTTCAGGGTTAGACGTGATCAGTTTGCAGTCTACAAAATTAGTGCTACCCTCCTACAAGGTAGCTGACATCTGCAAAAACCGAGATTTGCACCGTTGTGGTCGATTGTTTTTATTGTCTAGTAACCTGTCACTTCGTTTTAAACAAAAGTTGAGAGAACTAACCAGAGTTTAGGCTTGACACCATGTTTTTTTAAGTGCTACGTGGACGTACCTACGTCAGACAATAGGCATTTTAGTAGTATGAATTTGTAAGTGACATGCCAATTATCATTTCCTACATTGGTTCAGAATAAAACTCTGAAATTATGACTGATGATACTCGTCGAGTTTCTCCTTGTTCCTTTTCAGTTTATAAAGTCTACGCGCCTGAAGTACTTAAGTGACAATTTGTCACAAATGTACGAATCTACAAAGTATAGACCACTATACTTTTTTGTAGCTATGATACTATTTAGTGAAATTTGATTTGAACAGGTTTCTCACAGTAGCCAGTGTCCATTTTAAAAAAACTAAATCGTATTGCTAGTGTATATGTCTTTGTGGAGTAAGATGGTATAATATCTAATTGAACAGGTGTACCTATCACAGTGACCTGATCGCGGTCGGTTCACGAATTCTGAATAGATTCTCTTCAATCGGTAGATATGGTTACCCGGCTGTTTTGCATAGGTATTGCTAACTGAAAACTGTAAGCTGTAGCTAGTTGATAATTATATTAGAATCATTTTTGTTGAACGAGATTACTAACTAATATGGCCTGTTCACATGCTGTCTCGTCGTAGGGTCAATTTAGACATGTTTAAGCACTCTTCAGTAGGTCAGTTTATTTCTTTAGTATGTTTCTGAATAATGGTATATAGATATCTGATCAATGAAATCTCTTACTCAAGTCCCTATGTCAAACAGGGATTACTGATTTTAAAGACCTCTAAGGTTTACTGCTCTCCCTAGCTTTAAAATAGTCTTTACAGCGTTGGACGTCTGATTTTGGTGGATATGGAGATTCTATCTAGGGAAGTTGGGGAACCCTGATTCCAAACCATTGGTGCACATGGTATAACCCAGCTATTCCTATTGCTTAGTATTCTTGGACACCAATTCACTCGACAAGTCCCCAAATCAAAACACGGTTGAATAGGAGAGAGATTATATTCCAAATAACAAGGTTAGATGGGAGCAAGTCGCAAGTAAGAAGCACAATAGGGAAAACGTTAGTATATTTATAGTATTTACACGAGAAGATTTCTAGATTGTTCTCCAAGTATCGACTAGCGCTGATTGGATAAGAATTAGCCAATCAGCGTGCGCCAAAGCAGTCGTGCATTGACCATGCTTTAATCCAATCTGTGTCCCGCTAACAAATTTCAAGTGCCCTTTTGTGATATCTTGGTACTTCCCCCTTTATGTTTGAAAAGTAAATGTAGTTTGGAAACGCGACTTGTTTGTGTGACTAAATAGTAACGGAAACTCAATCATAAATTATATCCGTTTTTATTAGTTACTTTATTTGTTTCGTGTGACTTGAAATTCTCATAGTCCTCCCAACCTAAGGTTTATTAAAGCTATTGATTGCTAAAATACTGTTACTTGTAAGTCGGCCTTGCTTATTTAATTTGTCAGTTGTTATCATCACTTTTCATCGCTTTAGTTAGTCAATGCATAAGATAGGCCGAACTGAACTGCATATGAAAAACGGATGATGAAAATAAATAGATCTACAAAATCATATTAACACATTCTGTTGAAGTAGATTTCCTCGCTTATGGTTTCATAACTTGATTGAAACGAGGTGATTCAACTGATAATTTCGAATATGCTCTTCACATTTTTTCAGTTTTGTGTTATCGGAACTCCTGGTCAGAGAGGTCCACAAGTCAGTTTGATAGTAAATGGTCGTCTTATAGAGTTGAAGACTGGTGAGTGCCGTGAATCATGTCGTATAGCTGTTACTGGGAACTTGTTTATGGATGTTCAAGATGCTAGTCGTGTAAGCTTTCTTGACACGCTGGAAGGGAATTATGGAGAAAGTAACTGTGACAAAGAAAATTTGATCAACGGTTGGCGTCAAAGCCGTATGTCTATTTTAGAGCGAGCTGATTGGGTAGTCCCTGCTTATGGTCCTCCCTTCAAGGTAAATAAAGGTTATTTTCTCAGAATATTTGTCACAGTATGTTTAAAGCTGCTGATGCAGTTGATATATTTCCAATTTCTCCCCTCTTATGTAACCTGTTTACCATATACTGATCCTTGTACTTGGTTTGTAGCCACACACTAAGTGTGAAGTTTAGTGATACTAGACCGTTTTACAATCGCGGGATTAGGTGAAGCGAGGTTCGAAATAGTGACTCACTGACTGGAAGTTGAACGCCTTAATCACTTAACCATTGCTCCACAAAATACACCCCAGTTTCTATAAGCTATTCTATCTAACAGGTTGTTGTAGAGTAATCGATGATTACCGTTCCAATAATTGTAGCAATTTTGGTCTTCTGCTTATTTTTATCATATCTATTTAAATTAGGTTTCACTAACCTTCTGGTTAAATAGCTATTCAAACTACCTACGAAACTCCAATATTGGTATGGGACTAGCTAGTAATTATAGTCATCATATATCTGTATAGATTTATAAATGCTTCTGAATTTCGGTTGCCAGTAATACGGTGCATTTACCTGTAAGCTGAATTTTTGTCGTCCGAGTGTTGAATCTAGTGCCGAAGTAAGATATGTAAAATCAGTTCCAAAATGACATCTCATTGTGCTGAATTCTTTGTGGATTATCACTAGCTCTGGTGGTCCGATGAAGTTGCCCATACTAATGCGGATAAAGAGTAGTGCAGAACATGTCCCAAAACCGGTCTAAAATAACGATAGTGTCCAGACGTGAGCATATTAGCAATATATAACACAAACGTATTGAGTAAATTGATTTGTTGCATTGTTTCTCTATTTATTTAATCAAACATACAATTGTTGTTTGTTTGTTTTCCAGGTTAAACCGGAATATTCTTCAACACCATGCGTTGAACTTGCGTAGTGATCTTACATTTTTGTCCGCATTTTGAACAAAAATACAATATAATTATGGAAGAGATCAATTATCATATTATCATAAAAATAAACCTGATTACACTTTCAGTGAAAGTACAAATCTGTTTAGCGAAAATACAAAACTTCTTGGATTGTTACATTTCCATTTGTACCAGTAGCAAGTTGTGTTATATAAATGATTTTTTTCTAATTTTACTCTTCTTTTCCCTGATATTTGTATGAAGTTTATGCTACTCGATAACATCTCTGTTTAGTTGTTTGTTAACTTGGGATTTTTTGTTCATGTAAGTATTATAGCTGTTTGTTAGGTTGCTCTGCCTTATAACTTCGGTAGGTACTCCCCTATTGTGTCAAACTGTCTAAATTCTGCTATGTTTGTTAAATAGGACATTTTTTATATTAGCCGTCTCACAAAACTTGTAACTCAACTATTCAACCTCTGTTGATTTGGATATAGTTACACATTTAATGTAAATCTATAGAATATTGTTTCCATGTCTAAGAAAGTCCATATGTATGTCAGCCCACTACGTTATCTTTAGTGTACTTTCATCTTCACTTCGACTTATAATTTTTTTTAACAATCACAGAATTTAAGAGACACTAGTCGTGTATGTTTAATTGCAAATTAGTAAAAATCTTTTACCATTGCTAAGGCACTAGCTATTCTGTTCTGGTTATTATTTTATAATCAATACTTATGAGATAAAGTAATTGCTTAATGTATAAAGTTGTTCTGTTTCACAGCTACTGGGTTTTAAGTTTGAACGCATCTTCATTTCGGTTTAAACAACTGGTTATCACTAGCCAGTAATGTAGTTCAAGGCTTACAATATACGAATGTATGTCCTTCGTAGATGTGTTGCATCAGAAGTGATTTGGAAGATACCAATTTACATTTAGTGATAAAGATAATAATACTTTTTTCTTCAAGTGATATTTCTTATATAAATTGCACTAATTCGGAATAAATAAATAAATGCAACTTTAACCTAATAAAAATCCAAGTATCTACACATGAATCACATCTATCATTAAATCCCTTAACTCCTAGGATAGAGTTCAAATGTTTTTTTTCTGTTTAACGTTTTAGCAAGGTTTTCTATGGGATAGAGTTGCCGACCCTATGGACAACCTTACTCCTTTATCCGGGATTGCGACAGGTAGTAACCCTAAATGGGTTCTAGTAAGAGCTTATTGTTAAGTTGCCCCCAAATACCGAGAGTGGGGAGAGTCAGCTCTCCCTCTCTCACATGACCACGTGCATACAACCACTGCCAGGGAAGTCCTACTCACTGCCTTCTCGTGGCGTGGGTGTTGTTTACGAAACTGAGAGGCCGAAAAGCGAATTTCCGGCACATTAAGCGGGTTGATGGATACGGAGGATCTACCTAGGGGAGTTGGGAAACCCTGACTCCAAACCAATGGTGCATATGGGTTCCAGGATCCTAAGGAAACAAATGTCGTATGAACCAATTGTTGGTCATCGAGTACTATAAGACTGCATCTCCGGACGTTGCTCCACTGCCTCATGGATTAGACCTTTAAGTCGAAGGCTTGGGGTGTGGCCCCCTAAGAAAGCCACCTGTTTCGGTTTGGGCGTCTGATCAGTAATCCAGCCTTCATACAAATCGAATCATTTGTGTAGTGCATAATATTTGGTTCCTCGTTGTACGAGTGTTTGTATTTAAATAAATAAGAAATATTGTTAAGTTACATAATTTAAAATGGATTAAATGTTTATGCGAAAAGTTTAGTGGTTGAGAAATGAATGCCGATGTCATTAAGATAAATTCACATCACATCAAATGGTTAGTTGAATCATTCATTTGTAATTGTGTATAATCAGAATGAACAAGCCCTTTCACTTATTGGTGTTGATATGTGTTGTTTATTACATTCGAGTTTAATACTCTACGATTTCCTTCACTAAATGGTAGAGTATATGTGCTGTTCAGACTTGACCGTGTCAGGTCAGGCTATTAATTTCATAAGTTTCGCAATGGTTAGTTATGTAGGCGGTACTACTATTAGATTTGTTTGGTGTAGATGACTTCAGTGCTCTGATGCGTTTCTGCTTTTATATCACAGTTTGTTCATTTAAAATAGATTTGGCGAACTATATAAATAGTTTAAAAAATCTGGAAGTGCACATTGTGAATTAAAGCCTGAGACGGTCCGTCAACCGGAAGATTATACAGTATCTTAGATCGCTGTTATGAACATCGTTTAAAACTATTTTATTAGTATGAATTGAAGTTAGTCAGTGTGTATTTTCCCGTAAAATAGTATAATATCAATAAGTTTACTTCGTATAAAATGATTACGAATCCCAATTTTATATGACTTACCGAACATGTGACAGTATTTTGTTTGCAATACAAGTTAGTCACAGGGCTATAAGACAACGGAAACATGAACTCGAAAAAAATAGGAAGATTATGAATCCTTCCGGTTAGTTGCTGTTTTATACAACAATATTGCAAAACATAAGCAAATTATACATAAATACTGAGTTTAATAAAGTTATCCAAAGGTTCTGTCTGTAAATTGAGAAGATAAAGTCACGAATTCGTCAGTATGCGTGTAGGATATCCGTCTTCTATAAACCTCACAAGGACGCAAAAAGATCTTTAAGAGTCTTCATATTATCTATGGTTAGAGTTATATATTCAGAACCGGAGACTTAAGGTTCAGTTCGGAAAATGTAGTTGAATTTAGGAACTGGACTTATATGAAATATAAGATAAAAGTCATTTTCGGATTTTGCGCAAATCTTAACAGTTTTCCCGATTTTGATTGACTCTTCCGTATGTTATACTTTTACCATATACTCTTGCCAATATTAATTTACGAAAGACAAATTGTATATCAAAAATTAACGTCCTGAATAAAAGCTTACAATTAAGGGTACACAAAGAATACCTTAAAGCAGTTAATAAGCACACACCAAAAATTCAGATGCTGAAGCATTAGAGAATAGCTCGCCAAGTTCCTCAATTTCACCTGTTCTTGTACTAGTAGATTCGTTTGTTCACAAAGGCAGTCAAAGTCATCTAACCATAAGCTTCAATTCAAATTAGTTTTGGGTTAATTAAAAATTTTAACTGAGTAGAATGTGTTATATCTTTTGTTATGTGGCAGCACTTGGCCATGTGTTTGAAAATAATAGCTAACTATGCGAATCATGGAAACTAACTACTCTTATCACATGTCTTGTCTTCCAGACAGAATTTTCGCGATTCATACCATAAAAATGAAAAAGGATAATGTTCGTTCAGTCTTCAATGTGTGCTTGTAAAACGAAATCTGAAACGGTTAATTAATTCATTCAAAATCATCTTAACCTTCCCCCCCTCTATAAAAGCCAAAATTATTCTGTCATGTAAATAACAATCTAGTGAGTACTAGTCAACTTTGATGAAATAGGAATAATGGATGATTGACAGTCATGTGTTGGAGTAGTATTTTTTCTATGGTGTTAGTTTTCTTACTTAAAACCTATTAAAAATAGATAATAAATCCAGATTACTGATTTTGATCTGGTAACTATAATACTGATTATATTATATTGAGTAGCCTTTTTTTCTCAATTAGATTCATATGTATCTGGACATAGTCAGTCGAGATTGTTCAAATTAACCTTGTTGACGTATGAATAAGTAAAAAAATGTCGTATATTTATGAGAACCATTTTTATAGTATATATTTTTATTCAGTTAGTTCTCATTTAATCATGTTATCTACTTAGTTCACCCAATTTCGGTACATAAGAAAAAGTTCTCTTTGCAAAAAACGGGGTACCCCAGCCGTTGTATATGTAGAAAAACTCTTCTTATTGTGAACCATCTTCATAAATGCTTCATCTTGTTTTCATATTCTTGAGCAGAGTTCAACTACTGATTTATTTCAATAAGAACCTCACTTTATCGACTTGGACCACACGTGATCTGTTTCGTTTTAACCAACCAAGTATTATAATTTGTTTTATACATAAAAAAACAAGTGGCTGAATACTGAGTACATAGACTTAAATGCATTTGATTATTACATGGTGTAAATATATGTTATCGACATCATTACCAAGGTTTGAAATAATAATGCCAAATAGATTGAGTATTGGGTTGATTGTTATTTACTTACTTACTTACTTACGCCTGTTACTCCCAATGGAGCATATACCGCCAACCAGCATTCTCCAACCCACTAATAACCTACTAATAGATTTGTAATATCCCAATGAGTAGAAAAATTAGATTTCCTGACGTTTCTTTACTCATTCTTAGCCAATTTTTTCAGAGAATAAACAAATTAAAGTAACCCAAGTTTAAATAATAAAAAGGGACAAAGCAAAAATATTTATTACGATCAATCTAAAAAAAATGTCATGTCATTCCAGTCAATGCGATTTTTTATGAGATATACTTGTGTATTTGTGTGTGTTAATAAGTGAAAAATATGACATTTGTAATGTAAAATGATAGAGTGACATTTGTATGTTTTGTAATCGTTTGAGATGGTAGCTCGAATAGATGGTCCAAATCAGTAGGATAGTAAGTCCTTCATTAGAACCTCCTCCTCCTCCACAAAAGGACCCTTCCACGGTGTGGGCAACCGGGAAATAATAACTGCCCTCATACCTCTAATAGCACTCAAGATCACTGTATTCATAATCAATCTCCCCTCTTCTTTCCTATTGAGGACAGTAGGATTTAGTAGAAAGTTTCATCTATTCGCATTTCTTTGTAGTTGGAAAATTCTGTTTGTATTATTTTGTTATATTATCCAAGAATACTTTTACTAACACATTTCATTCATTTCTTCTGAACTTATTATCTCCTTAGACTACTTATATACATATTTAAAATATAAATTCTTGCTTTTATTTTAATCATTCACAATAGGCTAATAGATTACGTCAACATTTCACTCATCAATTTTCGTGTAGTTTAAAGAAACCTATACCTAATTTATATTCAAGATATC